CGTGCACACCATATTTGTTTAATTTAAGGTGAAATTTTAAATGATTGATTTACTTAATATATTACAATTTTTAGGTTATATACTTTGCATTAGATGAACAAAAACAAAAACAAAAAATTCGTAGAGAAACCTAAGTTTGTAAATCCTCTAATATTTATTCCATGTGCATATGATCCGACATTCTGTGGATACTAAGATCTAAAGACCAACAACTGAATTAGTTTAGGGAATAAGCTACAAACCTAGCAATATACTATTTCATTTCATAAGAAGGGAACGGATGAGAAAAACTCACAAGTTGGGGCATGGATTCATGAATAATTTGTTCAAGCGTGTCGTACACAAGCTTATTGTCCACGAGGAATGTCAAGTATCCTTCCACTGTGAATTTCCATGTCGCGATAGGACAGTCCTGGGGAGTTTTGGACTCTTTTTGTCCTTCCTTTGCCTGATTCTCGTGTGCATTCTCATCGCCACGAACCTCATCTCCTCCACAAATCCCTTCGCTTCTCCGGGATACCTTTTCTTTGGCCCCTCCTCCGTTTCCGCCACAGCATTCACCACCAAAGTTCGACCTTCGTTTGCTCTACGGACAAGAGGGCAACGAGGAGCGGTTAGGGTTCGGCAATAGCTAATTGTCACGGTCCTAGCTCTCAGACCAACATAGCTCTCACAGTTGAGGCTTCTGCTCGCCGAAACGCGGCAGAACGCATTAAGTCTTGATGTAGCCATAATTTGCAATATACACACGCAAATTGATATCCGAAATGAAGGGTTGTAGGAGAAAGACTAAAGAAGTGTATTTTAGTCTTCCATTGGGATTTTAATTTATAGACTTAACAAAAAACAAAGAGTACGTAGTCTTGCATTAAGTCTTTCTTTTTATCAATAACAAACACAAAAGTCTATCTTTTATGTTAGACATGGGCCCAAGGCCCACTCACGATAACTCTGGCCCATCAACACCAAAGAAGCCCAACTCGGAGAGGATGATTAAGTTTAACCATGGTCAAATCTTAACCAAGGTTATTCCCAGTATTTTGCTATAAATAGAAGTCCTCACATCATCTTTGAAGTCCTCACATCTGAACATTCTTTGGATGAGAGGATAAAGAGCAAAATGTACACTTTATTCTCCGGATCAGAGAAGGATTTCCGGTCAACTACCGTTGCTGGAAAGTACAAACTGTTTCACGACCTCTTATTTTCTATAACACGTCAGGGCCTGTCCGACCTGTTATCATTTTCACACTCTACCTTGTAACCTCTTTTCCCGACTTCATATTTTAATATACAAGAAATCCCGACCTCTATTTATCTACAAATTCATTGAACGATCTACTTTTTGGTTGAACATTTTATCAAAGCATCAAACCTCGATCTAATTTAAAGACTTTAACATAAAGTGTAATTAGTCTTGCATTAAGGGTGAGATTGCTATAATCTTTTTACTCGTGGAATAATGTAGAGAGTTAAAAATTATGTTGTAGAGTAAAAAATTCCCCCCTTAAGTTTTGTAGAGGAAAAATTTACACTTGTTTCCTACTTTTGAGAAAAAGTAGGGTTTTGAGTCATTGTAGTACCTCCAACTTTTAAATTCAAATGTGGTCAAGCTTCCTT